TTTATAACAAAAGAAGTTGCTACTGTGCAGCTGAATAATTAAGGTGAAGAACTTCCTGACTGGTTGATCTCGCTGTCTTAACATCATCATAACAAAAATGTATGTTTCTCAATGTTTAAAATAAAACTTACAGGACATTGAAATTCTTTCAAAGCTATAGCTAATCACTGTCTTAAACAGCTGTTAAACCCTTTGTCCAGGCAACGTCCCAGGCTTTTTTGTTCATAAGCATTAGATACCTTTGTATGGCGAAAATCAGTTCTTTTGATGAAATGACTAGAAATTGAACCTGGAGAACTTGGACTACTAATTTGTCATGAATTTCACACTTGATTTTAAGACACGTCATTAGAGCATCTTACATTCTTTTCCTAAACTAGAAAAGTAACAAAAATGTTTTATTTCTGATGGTTGTTTTTTTGTAACTGAGCTTTCATTTGCTTTGTTCCCGATTTCCTCTTAATCCTCTGTCCTTTGACTACTGTCTCTTGAGCACCCGCGTATCCTTCTTGTCTTGTCATCCTTCCATTGCACAACCTTCTTATTCTAGGCCGTGCAACTTAAATGTCTGCCTGTACAGTGCTTTATTGGCTATTGTACAAATTTCGGTTTTGGATGTTATGCAAATAATATCTTCCACCTAAAGAGAAAATTGAAAAGAAAGTTGACACAGCGTACGGTTACTGTACATTTTCTCAGTCTTTGAGCTGGCCGTTCACTAGGTTTGGAAAATCTTCACTGCACTATGATGTCTTGCATTTGTCACGTTATTGATGCAGTATGTGTGAAGTACCACTGAAAATTGCTGACTTTACTTTCATGTGATGTTTTGCAGTCAACAAGCAAATCAATGACAAAGAGAGAGTAGCAGCTGCGATGGAGAATCCAAACTTGCGTGAAATTGTGGAGCAGTGTGTTACAGAGCCTGACTAGTAGCTATAATACCCACAGAGTTATCATTTTGATACATTTCTTAAAATAGCTTTGTTTAAAAAAAAAAAAGAAAGAAAATAATAATAATCAAGGCCTTGAGTTTAATACTTGAGTTCTTTTTATCTTCCACATTTTTTTAAAAGAAATTGTTTATAAGATTTAAATTATGATTAATTAGTCTCTAAAATACGGTGAAGTGTATAGTGTTAAGAGTTTGTAATTTCTGGTGTCCAGAGAAATATTTTATGATTAAAAACAAAACCACACCTATGTATTGCCTTCTGATAGACATTGTGATATAAATTCAGTTTTGCAAGATAAATTTCTACATTGTTTCAATTGCTGCACTGTAAAAATAAAACAGATTCTTGTACTGAAATGCTGCTTTCTAGGTTCAGAATTTTTTTTTCTTTCGGTTTAGATTTCTGTTAGAGAAGGAAACATTTCATTCAACTTCTTTGATAGTGATAAACACATTAAAGCTGAAATGAATTCAGAAGAAGAATTCCGAACTAAGGGACTGGACTAGGACAAGGTAGCTTTTTACTGGGACACTATTCCTGCTACATATTTGCATTTTTTTTCCTGTTAAGCACATGTTCCTGATTCTGAAGGCTTTGCATTATAGTTACCCTGAGGGTAAAGTTTTCCTGTGGACAAGATCTTGCCAGTTTGATCCTGCTTTTTCTTATGACTTGCCTGCAATGTGGAAGGTGAGAGAATCCCACAGCCCTTCATTCCTCTGGTTCCCAGTGTCCTCTTTCTTTTTGCTGCTCCCTTGCCGATTGTATCTGGGGCTTGTTTTCTCACAGGAGAAGTTCCCTAAGGTTTGTTTCCGTTGCAGCTGTGGATGTGACCATGGATTTACCTTTCCCTGAAGAATTAGGCAGATATTTCTTGCTCAGCTGTCCCTCTCCCAGTGGAAGTGATGTTCGGTATTGGCTGTACAGCCACAGAGGGCCTCAGCGGTAAGCGTATGTGCCGGGGGGAGAGAGGCTGCTGCCACCCCTCTCATGCCCCATGGCACTGACAAAATCCTGGGGTACCCCAGGGGTGCGTTACCTGCTCAGTGCACAGTAGTTATCCCCTGCAGCGGTTCATGAGAGATTTCGGGAGCCGTTCGTCCACGAAACAGTGATTACTCCAGTGGGCTTGCACTTGGTTCAACAGTGAGAAATCCTTTGGAGTTCAGTGCAAACATCTGTTGAGATTTCAGGGATTTGTAACCATTTGAATAATAAGCCACATAAAGCTTTCCTGAAGGCATGCAATGATTGAATGGACTCCAGCTAGGCTACGCATTATAAACAGTGGGGAAAATTTTACCCTTTGTGAAACAGTATACTGAGACATGTCACAGCTGTGCCAACAAGAGCTTGTAATCTCCCTGCTTTCAGTGCCAAAGTTACCTAAATATAAAAAGCCGGGGCGGCGGGGGGGGGCACAGAGAAAAATCCCCTTTTTCCATAGGTTACTGCACATCTGCAGGACTCTCAGTTCTGGCATATGTGTGGAAAATTACTTTTCTTAACTTCAGTTACTGAGCTTCAATTGAATTTTACTTACATTTCAAAAACCTTTGTAGCCTCATTGCTCACCCTGAGTTTAGCTTGAGAGAAGTATGTGTTTCCTTAAGCAGCACTTTCTACACATACCTCTGTAAAGTGTAATTAGATATAGCTTGAAAGTGGGACACTGCTATGTCCACTGCCTCATGTATTCAGCAGAATGCGAAGGGAATTAGCTACTTGATGCTTGCATGGGGAACTAAAAACTTGCTTCTGTTGCCAAGGTAAATAAAGAGCCCATGGACTGATTTTTTTT